ACAAACCATCGTGTACGTGTGTGTAGCATGTGTGTGGAGGGGTAGAAGGGAAGAGAAGCAAGGCTGTGGTACACTTTTACAACAGATATACTCTCTCCAACAATCCTCCAAATTACCAGAAGTTCCCATGGAGTAGACCCACAGCGTATATTGGTCCTCCAATATACGCTATACGTATATCAGGCGTAGATCTTGAACCGCGTCTCCTGCCACGTTCCGTCGTAGCCTCGTATTTCGAGGGAAACTGTATATATACAAATGGGACAAATACATTCGATTATCGGCGATTTGGCTTGAGTAATTGGATAATTGTGTAATTGTGTAATTGCTTCTTGTACCATACAGGCGTTGTCGACATCGTAATTATTACATAGTGATTTTACCCTTGTACTGAGGTGTATTGAGTTATTTTCCAGCTTATACACGTTTGAATTGTTTTAAAATTTACATCTGTGTTTCTCTTTTGTTTTTTTGTTTTTTTCAGTTTTTCGTCTAATTTTGTGTTAGTTTACATCTGTATTTTTTGTTAGTTTACATCTGTATTTGTTTTAGTTTACATCTGTGTTTTTGTTTTGTTTTTTTTCAGTTTACATCTGTATTTTTTTTGTTTTTAGTTTTCGCCTGTGTAGTTATTGTATCACTTTACACCTGTGAATTTGTCTTATCACGTTACACTTTGTGTATTCGTCAGTATACACCTGTGTCAGTATACACCTGTGTGTCAGTATACACCTGTGTGTCAGTATACACCTGTGTGTCAGTATACACCTGTGTGTCAGTATACGGCTGTGTGTCAGTATACACCTGTGTGTCAGTATACGGCTGTGTCAGTATACAATCTAACTTTCGTAGTCTCTACGTGCGGTATACTCGGGGTATGCTCTACACGTACAATATATTCGTGTCATCACCCACAAGTACTGTATACTCGTAGTATACGCCACAGGCGCAGCATCCTAGAGACATATTTTATAAATGCAGTATACCGGGGTTATAATGGCATCACTAGTGTCAAATAACATCGTCTGGGAGACAGACCAACCTCCCGTTGTTAACATCTCCAGATGTTGTAGGCGGAAGTAGCATCAGGGAGTTGTTAAAACATCACTGTTAATATGGAACAAATAATCCTTCATTATATGTTAAATTATACTCTATATAGCAGTGTGAAACAAAAGGCGCGTTGCTAATAATAATAATAATAATAATAAAAATAATAATATCACAAATATTAAAAATAATAATAATAATGATAATAATATTAACATATTTAAAATAATAATTGTAATGAGAATGCAAAAATTATTTCAAAATCTCATCATCATAATATATAAATGTTTCATTCGATATTAAATTTCCTTTTGAAGTTTGGTCTAGGGTTCTCTATAGCACTTCTGGGGTTTTGTATTTGTATTGAAAACTCTTGTGTTTGGCCGTGGATTTTAAAGTTTTTTTTTTTTTTTAGAATTGCTGTTAATTGTACAATATGTATTTTAAGTACACATAAATGTACCGTGTGTGTGTGTGTATGTACACATATTTGGAAGAATTATCGTAAAAATACGTGAATCGGTTGAGCGTAAGTTTTCCCCGCTCAGGGGAAAATAAAATTAAAACTAATCCAAACAATTTTAGTAATTTGATTTTATGATTTCGTGATTTTGTAATTTGTCAAGGAGTACAGTAGACAGATGATACATGGGGGTGAGGGATTATGTAGCCCCCACACCTGCAGCCCAGCCTACGAATAGACAGTACGTTTTAATACTAAATGTAATAAGTACAATTAGTACTGTACAAATAAGTACTATCGGCATAGTACATTAATACACTTAATCGCCAGTATCGCACCAAAATATTGTGAATATTAGAGTTTACCTAAAAAGTTGTACAGAAAACCACGACCTAACCTAACCTTGGGAGTGTTGGAGGACAAGCATGTAAATAGCATTTATTGCTTCTTAATTACAATTAGTACTTAACCTATAGCTATATTGATATTACAATTTTATAAAACTAATAAAACAAAACTAAAATCTTTTAAAAAATTATGAAGTAACTCAGGATATTTTCAAATTTTGTATAAAATCTCTATTGTTTAATAAAACTGAAAAAGAAATTCTTTATATTTAAAACTTGTGTATATAGACTTGAACACGGAAACTTAAACCTACAAATTTTGAGATTATTGACAGAAAATTAAGAGAATATATGGGGAGGTAAATGTAACAGGACAATTAAGTGTATTTATTTACTATGTATAATGTCAGGAATGTACTTATTACATTTAGTACTAAAACGTACTGTCTATTCGGAGGATGGGTTGACTACTGAGTACGTCAAGTAACATGAAGTAAACTGATCTTACAACAATCTTAAAGGAGCTCTCTCTCTCTCTCTCTCTCTCTCTCTCTCTCTCTCTCTCTCTCTCTCTCTCTCTCTCTCTCTCTCTCTCTCTCTCTCTCTCTCTCTCTCTCTCTCTCTCTCTCTCTCTCTCTCTCTCTCTCTCTCTCTCCAACCACTTGGACTGGTCGGTAGAGGAATGGCCTCGTTTCTTGCGTATCGGTGTTCGATCCCCGTTGTTCCAAGTGCTTGGTCCTTTCCTTACCTATCTCTCTCTCTATATCTCCTTTCTCTAAACCCTTTAATGTGTTAGAAAGTCTCTCAGTATTTCCAACCCCCTTGCCCCAGCCCATAGAGGTTCACGCTCCCTTTGACGATGTTGGGGGGGGGGAGTTTCTCCCTCTCCCCCCACTCCTTTCCCGCTTCGACCCCATCCCGTCCTCCCCACTGCAGAAGCTGGCAAGGAAGGAGGAGGAGGAGCACAGAAGCGTCGAGGTATAACTCGGGAAGCCGATGGGGATTATATTAAGGAGAGATTACATTATCCCGGGCCGTCTCTAGCTAGTTCCCTGCCATCTCCGACACAGCCTCCACGATTTATGAGGTTGGTTGTGGTGGTGGTGGTCACTGATGGTGGTGGTGGTGGTGGTGGTAGTGGTGGTGGTCACTGGTGGTCGTGGTGGTCGTTGGTGTTGGTGGTGTTCTTTGGTGATTATGGTTGGTGATGTTGGCGGAGTCTGTGGTGGTGGTGCTTGTGGTTAATATTCGTGATGGTGGTTGCTGGTGGTGGTGGTGGTGATAATTAGTGTTTATAGAACTGGTGGAAGTGGCATTGCATTTGGTAATGGTGACGCCTCTTCCAGAGAAGTGAAATGGGAGGGAGGGGTGTGTGTGTGGGGGGGGTTATACTGGGTTGGATATGGAGGGTAGAGAATGGGGTAGAGGTGTGTGTGTGTGTGTGTCTGTACTGGGGGGGAAGGGGGGGTTGTGTAGAGGGAGGGTGGGAGGAAAAAGAGGGAGGGAGGAAGAGGAGAGTGGGGGGAGGGGGGTAGATGTAGATAGATGGAAGAGACCTCTTCTGGGGGATGCTCTCCTCTTTGTTAATCCCGGTAGTCCTAACGGTAGACCAACACATGCACGCACGTGCGTTCGTAACACACACACACAGGGGGAGTGGATGTGACACCTAATCTAACTCCTGAGGCACATATAAATAGGATAACGACAGCAGCGTACTCTACACTGGCGAAAATTAGAACTTCATTCAGAAACCTAAGTGAGGAGGCTTTTAGGGCGCTTTACACTGCCTACGTGAGACCCGTCTTAAGAGTATGCCGCGCCATCATGGAGCCCCCACCTGAAGAAACACATAAAGAAACTGGAGAAGGTTCAGAGGTTTGCGACGAGGCTTGTCCCGGAGTTACGAGGGATGGGATATGAAGAGCGTCTGAAGGAACTGAACCTTACGACACTAGAGAAAAGAAGGGAGAGAGGAGATATGATAGGGACATATAAAATACTCAGGGGAATTGACAAAGTGGAAATAGATGAAATGTTCACACGTAATAATAACAGAACGAGGGGACATGGGTGGAAACTGGAAACTCAGATGAGTCACAGAGATGTTAGGAAGTTTTTTTTAGCGTGAGAGTAGTGGAAAAATGGAATGCACTTGGGGAACAGGTTGTGGAAGCAAATACTATTCATACTTTTAAAACTAGGTATGAGAGGGAAATGGGACAGGAGTCATTGCTGTAAACAACCGATAGCTGGAAAGGCGGGATCCAAGAGTCAATGCTCGATCCTGCAAGCACAAATAGGTGCGTACACACACACACACACACACACACACACACACACACACACACACACACACACACACACACACACACACACACACACACACACACACAAATGGAATGCATTAGGAAGTGATGTGGTGGAGGCTGACTCCATACACAGCTTCAAGTGTAGATATGACAGAGCCCAGTAGGCTCAGGAAGCTGTACATTAGTCGATTGACAGTTGAGAGGCGGGACCAAAGAGCCAGAGCTCAACCCCCCCCCCCCGCAAGCACAACTAGATAGGTACACATACACACACTCATATATAAGTGTATATATATCCTTTAGCGACTGGTAAAGGCTGTATTATTTTCTCAGAAATGTTAAATGTTTAAGGGGTCGTGTGTTTATAAAAATGTTAAACTGAACTTTAACTTCACAGTTACGTTGCGTGAACTTATGTTTACTGATGGTGTAATAAAGTCTTTTTTTATATTTACGGAAATAACAGTTATTTTTATTTACGGGAACGATGATTGGTTTAAAAAAAAACATGTCCAATAGATTTAATTTAGAAATTACGTTTTATATATATATATATATATATATGTTTGAGTAAACCTCTATATATTTACACATACACTTACGATTTACACGTTTAAAAAAAATCCACATTGTGTTTACACATTTTTACACTCATGTGTTGATGTTAATTAACCAGCTTTATACAGGCAGAAATGTTAACAAATTAACTTTATATTCACAGACAAATATTATATATACATTTATATAAATATATATTTTTTTAAGTCCTATAGTCCTTTACGAATGTTTACACTGGTCTTATTTGTAAATGCATTTACTTGTTTACAGATTGGATGACCCCCTTGGTGAGCTCCACACAGCTGAGCCCCACGCCCACAGCTCCCACGGTGTCGGCTCCCACGCCCACCCTCCCCCACGCCCACCTGGCCGTGATGTACTCCCCGGCCGCCTATCCCGACCAACCCACGCCCTATCCTCTCCCCACGCTGGGAGGAGAGCAGTCAGCCTTCTACACCCCGACGGTATGTCCTTCCCCCTCTCCCTCCTTTCTCTCCTCTCCCTCCTCTCTCTCCTCTCCCTCCTCTCCCCATTCTCTCCCCTTCCCCCCTTCTCAACCCATTCGATCATTTACCTTCGTCCCCCCCTATTGTGCATCTCTTCCCTCCCCCCCCTATTGTGCATCTTTCTGTCTGTCAGTCATCTGTTTATCCCCTCCCCCTGTTATATAATATAGCATATAATACTATATAAAATTAAATATATATATATAATATAATATAACTAGTTATCTAATTATTAGAGTTACGATAATTAGCATACGAGTAATATACCTTCTATCCTGCGACGGTGTATAAGACGGTGTATAACCATCCAGCCTCAGTGTATAACGTATATCCACCTATCCTGCAGGCGGCTGGGCTCGAGCTGAAGGACTCCCTAGCCGCGTCGCCCATGGCACCCACCTGGCCCTATCCGTCCGTGTACTATCCCTACGACACGGCCCTCGCCTCCTATCCCTTTGCTGGGTAGGTCATTCACTCCTATCCTTGTTACAAAGGCCGGCTTGGTGGTCGACAGATTACTGAATTATTTGTGAATTCAATTTTATTTGTGAAGTCAATTTTATTTGTGAAGTCAATTTTCTTTGTGAAGTCAATTTTATTTGTGAAGTCAATTTTCTTTGTGAAGTCAATTTTCTTTGTGAAGTCAATTTTATTTGTGAAGTTAGTTTAATTTATGAAATTTGTTTTATTTATGAAGTTTAATTTATGAAATTTGTTTTAGTTATGAAATTAATTTGATTTATGAAATTAATTTGATTTATGAAATTAATTTGATTTATGAAATTAATTTTAGATATGAAATTAATTTTATTTATGAGATTAATTTCATTTATGAAATTAATTTCATAAATAAAACTTATTTGTGAAATAAATGCATTTATTTACATTTTTATTTTTTCTGTGTGTAAATTACTATTATTTTTGTTTTCGATGGACAATAAATTAAGTATATTATTAATGTAGTTTTGATGAGCTAATTAGTTTTTTCATTTATCATACATAGTTAAACATAAATTTTTTTACCCAATTTTAACATGTAACTCGCATACACTCTAGTGACCTCATGACGCAGGTTCGAGCCCACGGCCCTACTGCAAATATTTTTCTCATAGACGAAACACATTACTGTGATTTCATTGTGTGTACTTGTCAGCAATGTTTATACCCACTTGAAGCTTAAGGAACAAGGTTGTGAATCTGCCCTGTGACTCCTGCAGGTACGGCGTGGGGCTGGACGCCGCCCGCCGGAAGAACGCCACCAGGGAGGCGACGGCGACGCTGAAGGCGTGGCTCAATGAGCACAAGAAGAACCCCTACCCGACCAAGGGGGAGAAGATCATGCTGGCTATCATTACCAAGATGACGCTCACCCAGGTACGTCTTGGTGAGGGGGTGGGCAGGGGTGATGGGCTTGGTGAGGGGGAGGGCAGGGGTGAGGGGGAGGGGAGGGGTGATGGGCTTGGTGAGGGGGAGGGCAGGGGTGATGGGCTTGGTGAGGGGAGGGGAGGGGTGATGGGCTTGGTGAGGGGGAGGGCAGGGGTGATGGGCTTGGTGAGGGGGAGGGGAGGGGTGATGGGCTTGGTGAGGGGGAGGGCAGGGGTGATGGGCTTGCTGAGGGGGAGGGCAGGGGTGATGGGCTTGGTGAGGGGGGAGGGCAGGGGTGATGGGCTTGGTGAGGGGGAGGGCAGGGGTGATGGGCTTGGTGAGGGGGAGGGCAGGGGTGATGGGCTTGTTGAGGGGGAGGGCAGGGGTGATGGGCTTGCTGAGAGGGGAGGGGAGGGGTGATGGGCTTGGTGAGGGGGAGGGCAGGGGTGATGGGCTTGTTGAGGGGGAGGGCAGGGGTGATGGGCTTGTTGAGGGGGAGGGCAGGGGTGATGGGCTTGTTGAGGGGGAGGGCAGGGGTGATGGGCTTGCTGAGAGGGGAGGGCAGGGGTGATGGGCTTGGTGAGGGGGAGGGCAGGGGTGATGGGCTTGGTGAGGGGGAGGGGAGGGGTGATGGGCTTGGTGAGGGGGAGGGCAGGGGTGATGGGCTTGGTGAGGGGGAGGGCAGGGGTGATGGGCTTGGTGAGGGGGAGGGCAGGGGTGACCGGCTTGGTGAGGGGGAGGGCAGGGGTGATGGGCTTGGTGAGGGGGAGGGCAGGGGTGATGGGCTTGGTGAGGGGGAGGGCAGGGGTGATGGGCTTGGTGAGGGGGAGGGCAGGGGTGATGGGCTTGGTGAGGGGGAGGGCAGGGGTGACCGGCTTGGTGAGGGGGAGGGCAGGGGTGATGGGCTTGGTGAGGGGGAGGGCAGGGGTGATGGGCTTGCTGAGAGGGGAGGGGAGGGGTGATGGGCTTGGTGAGGGGAGGGGGGGTTGATGGGCTTGCTGAGAGGGGAGGGGAGGGCAGGGGTGATGGGCTTGCTGAGGGGGAGGGCAGGGGTGATGGGCCTGGTGAGGGGGAGGGCAGGGGTGATGGGCTTGCTGAGGGGGAGGGCAGGGGTGATGGGCTTGGTGAGGGGGAGGGCAGGGGTGATGGGCCTGGTGAGGGGGAGGGCAGGGGTGATCGGCTTGGTGAGGGGGAGGGCAGGGGTGATGGGCTTGTTGAGGGGGAGGGCAGGGGTGATGGGCTTGCTGAGGGGGAGGGCAGGGGTGATGGGCCTGGTGAGGGGGAGGGCAGGGATGATGGGCTTGCTGAGGGGGAGGGCAGGGGTGATGGGCTTGGTGAGGGGGAGGGCAGGGGTGATCGGCTTGGTGAGGGGGAGGGCAGGGGTGATGGGCTTGTTGAGGGGGAGGGCAGGGGTGATGGGCTTGCTGAGAGGGGAGGGGAGGGGAGGGGTGATGGGCTTGGTGAGGGGGAGGGGGGGTTGATGGGCTTGGTGAGGGGAAGGGCAGGGGTGATGGGAAGGGAAGGGAAGGGTTGATGGGCTTGGCGAGAGGAGGGGAAGAGTTGAAGGGATTGGAAATGTTGGTTAGAAGGGCGATAGATTGTGACAGATGTTGGCTGGTAGCAGACTATGGTAGACGATGACTGGTAGCAGACTATAGTAGATAATGACTGGTAGCAGACTATGGTAGATGATGACTGTTAGCAGACTATGATACATAATGACTGGTAGCAGACTATGGTAGATGATGACTGGTAGCAGACTATGATACATAATGACTGGTAGCAGACTATGGTAGATGATGACTGGTAGCAGACTATGATACATAATGACTGGTAGCAGACTATGGTAGATAATGACTGGTAGCAGACTATGGTAGATAATGACTGGTAGCAGACTATAGTAGATAATGACTGGTAGCAGACTATAGTAGATAATGACTGGTAGCAGACTATAGTAGATAATGACTGGTAGCAGACTATGATACATAATGACTGGTAGCAGACTATGGTAGATGATGACTGGTAGCAGACTATGATACATAATGACTGGTAGCAGACTATGGTAGATGATGACTGGTAGCAGACTATGATACATAATGACTGGTAGCAGACTATGGTACATGATGACTGGTAGCAGACTATGATACATAATGACTGGTAGCAGACTATGATACATAATGACTGGTAGCAGACTATAGTAGATGAAAGGGGGGAGTTGTCGTCGCAGCCAACCCGTTCTCGCACTTGCTTTTAGTCAATATTGGCTTATTTATTTAATAAGTTCATATGTGGCATACAAATTGATTGTGAATATTTTAGTTTACCTTGAAAAGCTTCATAGAAAACACCGACCTCACCTAACCTTCTTAGTATGTTAAGATAAGCATCATATTGCTTCTTAATTACAATTATTACTTAACCTATACCGTAGATCACCACCGTCCCTCACCTCTCTCTCCCTCCCTGCCGCAGGTGTCGACGTGGTTCGCCAACGCCCGCCGGCGGCTAAAGAAGGAGAACAAGATGACGTGGGAACCCCGCAGTAAGACGGACGACGACGACGACGACGATGACGAGAAGATCGATGATAAAGACGACAAGGACGACGACGAGAAGAAGGACGACAAAGACAGTAAGTTCCACCAGCTTGTTGTGGCTGGCGCGTGGGTTGCACCTTGAGGGTTCTCCCTATTCCCACCCACTCTTCCTCCACCTACTATAGTGCTAACCTAACCTGGTTGATACCTGGTTAATGGGGTTCTGGGAGTTCTTCTACTCCCCAAGCCCGGCCCGAGGCCAGGCTTGACTTGTGAGAGCTTGGTCCACTAGGCTGTTGCTTGGAGCGGCCCGCAGGCCCACATACCCACCACAGCCCGGTTGGTCCGGCACTCCTTGAAGGAAACAATCTAGTTTCCTCTTGAAGATGTCCACGGTTGTTCCTGTAATATTTCTGATGCTCGCTGGTTGAACAACCGTTGAACAACCGTGGACCTCTGATGTTCATACAGTGTTCTGTATGAACATCAGAGCACCTAGTAGACTCCACTACATCTACGTGGACCGGGCGGTAGATGCAGGGGGTTCCACAGGTTCATGATCCCTGTGGAACCCCAAACTTGGGGTTCGCTTGGCCGAGTGGTTTATCGTAATGGCCAAGGAGGACGCAATTGTCCCTATGGTTCGAGTCCCACCCAAGTAGAAGTGTTATTTCAAACTAAATTTGTTAAGGTAATGACTCGAGATTCACTGCGTCTATGGAAATAGCTAGTAATGACTCTCTGGGTCTGCAGTCATGACTCCTGACTCATCGGGTCCTCGGTAATGACTCTCTGGGTCTGCAGTCATGACTCCTGACTCACCGGGTCCTCGGTAATGACTCACTGGGTCTGCAGTCATGACTCCTGACTCACCGGGTCCTCGGTAATGACTCACTGAGTCTGCAGTCATGACTCCTGACTCACCGGGTCCTCGGTAATGACTCACTGAGTCTGCAGTCATGACTCCTGACTCACCGGGTCCTCCGTAATGACTCACTGAGTCTGCAGTCATGACTCTTGACTCACTGCAAGGTAACAACGCATCATTCTCTATGTTGCTACGAGAGGACGTTACAAATATTAACTTTATTGGTTTTAAGAGTAATAATGTTCTCCTTAACTGGTGTTCTCTCTCTCTCTCTCTCCCACAGTTCTCTTCAGCGACGGGGACAAGGACAAGAAGGATGTTGAGGGCGGGAGGTCCAGCGTGGGCGGCACGGGCGCCAGTTCCCCCGGGGTGCCGCCCACGGACGTCGCCCACCCTAAGCCCCGCATCTGGTCCCTAGCGGATATGGCTACATCGGGTGTGGTGGGCGGCGGCAGCGCTGGCGGCCTGGGGGCGTTGGGCGGCGGGGCGGGCAAGATGCTGGGCGGCGGGATGGCGCGTGGGTTGCACCTTGAGGGTTCTCCCTATTCCCGCCCACTCTTCCCCCACGCCTCCTATCCCTACATCCCCCACAGTGTGAGCGAAAGCCTGTTATCCTACTCGTACACGAAGTCCCTGGCGGCAGGCTTCCCTCCCGTCACCCTCAGCGACGTCACCACCGCCAGCCTCCTAGCCCCATCCCCCCTCGTCCATGATCTATCCAGACACGACCTGGGACGACCCGAAATCTCGCGCCCCGAGGCCCTGCGACCGGATATATCCCGCGACCTGCCGCGGCATGAACTAGCCCGCCCCGAGCCCCACCGGCCGGACCCACGCCCGCTCATGGACAAGGATGTGTGATGCCCGCACCCCGCCCACGCCCACAACTAAGTGTGTTTAAGTGTCAGGACCATTGCCGAGTGCGGCCCGGTGTGGCCCTGGGCCTCTGATGAGTGGTGGACCAGAAAGCGGCCCACCTCACCCTTTCCCCCCACATCAGGACACCCATATATGGACCAGTGCGGCCCGGTCCCACCCTCAAACGGGTGGGGGGACCTTTCCCCACACCCCCCTCTCCCAAGTGAGCGTAGAAAAGGAAGAGGAGGGGAGAGGGGGGAATAGATGGTGCCAGTGAGGGATAGGAGGGAGGAAATAAGACTCCCCCGTAATGAAAGGAGAGCGAGGGAGATGGAAGAGAGCGAGGGAGATGGAAGAGAGCGAGGGAGAAGGAAGAAAGTGAGGGAGAAGGAAGAGAGTGAGGGAGGACGGCCAGTGGAGAAGAGAAGAGATCAGCGCCCGCCATTTGTCTTCGTGTCACAAAGCTAGCCTAGCCAGCCGCTCCTCTTCATCAGAAGAACATAAAAACATAATCGTCTGTCTTTTGTTTCTCACGGAAGCTATGAGTGTATCACCGTAGATGCCAAAGATATTTAATTTACGATGTTCCTACGCGTTATTGTACAAGATAATCCTTATCTCTTGTGTTTGCCCTGGGAGTGTGTGGGCTGTGTTTGCCCTGGGAGTGTGTGTGTGGGCTGTGTTTGCCCTGGGAGTGTGTGGGCTGTGTTTACCCTGGGAGTGTGTGTGTGGGCTGTTTATCCGGGGAGTGTGAGCGGTGTTTACCCTGGGAGTGTGTGGACTGTATGCCTGTGTTTACCCTGGGAGAGTGTGGACTGTGTTTACCCTGGGAGTGTGTGTGTGGGCTGTTTATCCGGGGAGTGTGAGCGGTGTTTACCCTGGGAGTGTGTGGACTGTATGCCTGTGTTTACCCTGGGAGAGTGTGGACTGTGTTTACCCTGGGAGAGTGTGGACTGTATGCCTGTGTTTACCCTGGGAGAGTGTGGACTGTGTTTACCCTGGGAGAGTGTGGACTGTGTTTACCCTGGGAGAGTGTGGACTGTATGCCTGTGTTTACCCTGGGAGAGTGTGGACTGTGTTTACCCTGGGAGAGTGTGGACTGTGTTTACCCTGGGAGAGTGTGGACTGTATGCCTGTGTTTACCCTGGGAGAGTGTGAACTGTATGCCTGTGTTTACCCTGGGAGAGTGTGAACTGTATACCTGTGTTTACCCTGGGAGAGTGTGGACTGTATGCCTGTGTTTACCCTGGGAGAGTGTGGACTGTATGCCTGTGTTTACCCTGGGAGAGTGTGGACTGTATGCATGTGTTTACCCTGGGAGAGTGTGGACTGTATGCCTGTGTTTACCCTGGGAGAGTGTGGACTGTATGCCTGTGTTTACCCTGGGAGAATGTTGATTTGCCTCTAACATATCATATGGAGACATCTACATATTTAATAACCCCTCACATGCGCGCGCGTGTGTGTGTGCGTGTGCGTGTTCCCCCGTGCCTCCCAGACTGAGGGTGCCATCCACAGGTGCCATCCACAGGTGCCACGCCATGTCCATCGTGCCAAAATATCCACCGACATTGCACGTGTAGACGGTCCGCGTGCCAGAGCGTTGAAGTGGAGAAGCACGTGGTGTAGTGTTTACATACATGCACGTGCGTTGCGTTCTTTTAAACGTCACGCGGTGCGACTTACCACGTGTGTGTGTGTGTGTGTGTGTGTGTGTGTGTGTGCTCAGAGAGTAAACCACGTGTAAAATGAGTGTTGTGGCGTGTTCATTAAGAAGGGCACGTGGTAGAGCTGTCACAATACAAGTGATCACAACTGCAAGTCCATACAGAAGAAGTGTTGAATCCTGGGATGGAATTCAAGATTTTTGCACGGATGATTTTTTTTTCTCGTGAAAATCAACCACGTGCAAGATGCCAACACACGTGTTCGATGATCCCAAAGCACGCGCGTGGACCCAAAACACGTGCTGGACCCCAAAGCACGTGGTGGACCCAAAAGCACGTCCTGGATCCAAAAACGTGCTGGACCCCAAAACGTGCTGGACCTCAAAGCACGTGGTGGACCCCAAAGCACGTGCTGGGCCCCAAAGCACGTGCTGGACCCCAAAGCACGTGTTGGGCACACAAGGGCCTGATTTCACCTGTTCATTTTTCCCCCCTACAGAGATGCTTGTATATTTTATTATTATTTATATTATTACTGTTTTTATTAATTATCAGGAATTTCTATTCATGCTTCCGATTTCTAAAGTGTTGCGACCATTGGGCCAGTGGCGGTAAGGGCGAATTTTGTATTTTAAAAGTTTGCAAACTTGACCTTTACCGACACGGTCGATGAATTGGTCGTAAATGGGGATGTTTTGTCTCATTGTAAAGTTGTTGCTGTTTTCCCTGCGTCTGTCATGAAATGATGAGTGTTATGTAATTTAAGAATTTCATATAAGAGTGATTTTTGTACATATGTAATATAATACTATTTGAACAAATAAATACTTGTGATATATATATGTTGAAGCATTCATTTTTTGGAGGTAAATATTATCCTGGTATGATATTTGTTTTCATATTTTATATATATATATATATATATATATATATATATATATATATATATATATATATATATATATATATATATATATATATATATATATATATATATAAATATATTACATGATTTGTATTTGATTTTTTATTAATGGTTTTGGAAATCAATAAATATTGATTTCTTTGGGAAAAATAATTTGTCGTGAAATAATATAAAGAACTTACTAATTCGAAATTCTTGACACACACACACACACACACACACACACACACACACACACACACACACACACACACACACACACACACACACACACACACACACACACACACACACAAAGGTTCAAAGGTTTGCCACCAGACTAGTACCCAATCTGAGGGGTATGAGGGGAAGGAATTATTAGGGGGAAAGCGCCAAGCCATCATGACTATATAGCACTTGGAAGGGGTTAGGATAAAGATTTGGGATGGGACGGGGGATAAGGAATGGTGCCCAACCACTTGGACGGTCGGAATTGAACGCCGGCCTTCATGAAGGAAGACTGTTGCTCTACCGTCCAGCCCAAGTGGGTGGGTACCATTCCTTTCCCCCTGAAGGGTATGAGCTACGAGGAGAGACTACGGGAATTAAACCTCACGCCGCTGGAAGACAAGAGTTAGGGGGGGACATGATCACCACATACAAGATTCTCAAAGGAATTGATAGGGTAGATAAAGACAGGCTATTTAACACAAGGGGCACACGCACTAGGGGACACAGGTGGAAATTGAGTACCCAAATGAACCTTAGGTATTAGAAAGAACTTGTTCAGTGTCAGAGTGGTTGACAAATGGAATGCATTAGAAAGTGAGGTGGTGGAGGCTGACTCCGTGCACAGTTTCAAGTGTAGATATGATAGAGCCCAATAGGCTCAGGAACCTGTACACCAGTTGATTGAGAGTTGAGAGGTAAGACCAAAGAGCCAGAGCTCTACCCCCTGCAAGCACAACTAGGTGAGTACACACACACATGCACGCGCGCGCGCGCGACCAGCAACAGGTTTAGGCTGTGTAGTGAATGCAAGAATATTCTGCCAGCCTTCATTCATAATGTTTGATGGTAAACAAAAACGCACGTGGACTGACGTATCGGTGAATGAACCAATGTAAATAAAATATTGAGTTACGAGGAATGTAAAATTAACATAGCGCAGGGTCTTCCATTACTCTACATACACACACACACACACACACACACACACACACACACACACACACACACACACACACACACACACACACACACACACACACACACACACACACACACACACACACACCTGAATAACAGCAGACGTAGTATCAATATACAAGGGGGGGGGACATGCATTCATTGCTAAGAACTTGAAATAATAAGGAGGAAACTACTAGAACATCAAGACTATTAGATTTATAAACAAGCACAAAACGCCTTTAAGAAAGCGAAATCGTGCCTAACGAACCTACTGGAGTTCTAAAGACAAAACGACAGCAGTAAGACTGGGCAGAAAAAGATGGAGTGATCGCATATTACATGCCTACCAAAAAGCCTTTGACAAAGTTCCTCATAAAGAAATGCTATAAAAATGAGAAGCAGACGAGGTGGCAGCCTCCAACGCTGTCCACAATTTTCAAAATTGGTGTATGAGAAGCTTACACGGCCGGTGGCTGGACAGGCGGTGTCCAGGAGCTGAAGCTCTATTCTGCCGGTAGAAACAGGAGAGGATACAGAAATACAAATTGAGGTATGAGAAGCATTAATGAAGTAAATACATTTCAGTGTTGATATTGACTGCAGGGGCTATGTATGTACACGTGTGTAAATAAGCGTTCATGTGTATACACAAAGAGCTGAACCGCACATATAAGCACACACACACTAACATGTACTCACGGGAAAATGCACCCATACGCAACAAAGGAAACACACACATACACACACGTGGTTCGGGATCCAAGAGTCAATGCTCGATCCTGCAGACACAAATAGGTGAGTACACACACACACACACACACAAGCACACACACACACACACAAGCACACACACACACACACACACACACACACACACACACACACACACACACACACACACACACACACACACACACACACACACAAGCACACACACACACAAGCACACACACACACACACACACACACACACACACACACACACAAGCACACACACACACACACAAGCACACACACACACACACACACACACACAAGCACACACACACACAAGCACACACACACACACACACACTGTGTACGCATGTAAACATCAAAGTTACATTAACCATCCCCGTGCAGTGAACATCTCCCCCTCTATTTCAATTAACATCATTCCTCTTCCGCGAACATCAGTGCCTGCCCCCAACCCCCCCATCCATGCCCAGGACCCTCCCTCCTCTGCCCCCTGCCCGGATTATTGCCAACTCTCCCACAACACATCAACCAGCACCTCCTTCAACAAGACCCCCTCGCTTACCCTGCCCCCCCCCTTCCCCTTTCCCTTGTCTCTCCCTTCCCCCAAACGGGTACACTGACCCTCCCTCTCTCTCTCTCTCCCAAAACCAGTTGGGCTTGACGACATAACTCAAATATCTGCCAAGCAGCAGTTACTGGTTGGGCAGTCGGTACTGGCTAACAAAACCAAGGCGGCAATTGAATTCATAAACAAATCCAAACAACCTTAGGAAAACTGAGGAGGTTGAGTAGCCCTGACAGGAACTCTCAGCCACACTTACACAAGGCTCCAGTCCGGCTGCGTCTCCGACACCCTCCAGTACTTCTACACACCTAAACCATGATTCAAACGCTCCAACAAGCAGTGCAATATAAGGAGCTAAGATGAGCTGCTAAACACGGTGCTCCGCCTGGTGGCCAGACACTCCAGGAGCTCCGTGAACTCCTCAACACACAACCACTCAACACCACACTACACCACCCAGCCACCAGGGTGTGGAACACCATCCAAATGTTAGAAGACCCAGTGTTAGACACACTACTCCAAGACGAGACGCCCCAGCACCACAGTTGGTGGCCCAAGAGCTTGTATCTGTCCGACGGAAACACAACACATATGTCCAAGATGAAATACTGACCGGGAACCCCCCCCCCTCCCCCCTCGTACACCACAAAAGACTCTTAAACAGACCATCAGAACATGTACATCAGTATCTGAGTTCTGAATATGGGAACGGTAAACAGTATTCATGTATAGACATTTATCAACCCAGTCTCCTGTTTAGATATGTCCAACCACTTGGGCTGGACGGTAGAGCGACGGTCTCGCTTCATGCAGGTCGGCGTTCAATCCCCGACCGTCCAAGTGGTTGGACACCATTCCTGCCTCCCGTCCCATCCCAGATCCTTTTCCCGACCCCTTCCAAGTGCTATA